CCGAGCTGGCTGTCAGCTGCTGTGGAGATGCGGTAGGCTGAATTTCGGGACTGAAGAAACCTTCACAGAAGGTGTCTGAAGTGTTGAACGAAAAAGTTTCCCAGGAATTGAACTAGCTGTGACCTCAAGGCAACTACTGAGCAATATATACTTGGAGTCTCTTTTATTATTTTAAGTAATATGTAAGGGAATAAGAAAAATTGGAACGAGAGGAATGCCTTCTTTTAAGATGGCTTCAAGAAACTTAAACCATGTACAGAACAGCGTCCAAAAGCAAAAGTCCCCAGACAAAACAGGCATGTCTCTGTACCCAGACCAGAAGATTTGTGTAGGAACGTCAAACTGAGTTGGTGTTCAAGTGAAGAAGTGTGTGTATGTTAGGGAAGCTGATTTACATTGAGCTTGTGGTGAAAGTCATCACATGATACCTGCACAGGTACAACTGTGCAATAACGTCTCGTCTGGAGGTACGGGTGTTTCTCAGGTTTTTTGAAGCGATGCTGCATCGTTTAGTGTGCTGTTGCTGCAGCTTTGTTTTCACAGAGGTCAGTTGCCATCAAGAACAAAGCTAATACTCTGACAAACCTGTGTAGCAAGCGATGATTTGTGATACAGTTCTTCTTCAAGAAGAGGCTATTGCAAGGAGAGTGTTGGGTCTATTTGCAGTGATTCTTTGCCTGTTAGGAGCGAGTGGTGTTCATGCATCAATTAAGATAAAATAAAACTTAGGTTCTGTCCGAGACTGGCCCTCAAACAAGAAATTCCTATCTTTGGTCTTAAGATTGTGTGATTGAGGAATGAAAGTAATTTTAACAGCTTTTTTTGTTCATATGGGTACCCAATAAATGCAAAACACATGCAGTAACATTTGAAACGGATGGCTTTTGATTTTTAAGTGTTGTTCAATTTGGACTTAGACTCTCAGCTGATGCAGTATTATTTAACTAGATTTCATTGATGCAGAACAGCAATGACAGACTGTACTGCTGATGGCTGAAGAAGAGTCTAAAAAGACTGACTGAAAAGTTTGGTGATGCTCATGGGAATTGTTTAACTTCCTGGACACACATTACATCATGTTCAGCTTCGCTTCCTTCGCTTAAAGTATGTTTGTGAATAGTGTACAGTCAATTTAAAAGACGCTCTCTGTACTGCTGTGGAAACAAAGCAGAGTGCCCTCGACTCTTGCTGAAGAGAGATGCTGAGAACAGGCTGCACCACAATAAGCGCTCAGCTGTTCGTTGGCTCAAGACCTGCTGCATGAAGAGGCATGAGGAAGCATAAACCCAAAAGTAATACAGCCTGAAGTAAGGCAGAATCAGAGAAGCAGGAACCGTTATGACTAGAATGATAATTAGGAGCTGGATTCCCAGTTGTCAGTAGAACGGTGGACGCTTGTACCAGAAGTGCAAGGAGAATTGAACTGAAGAATTAACCGCAGACATCTCGGATTAGATGGATAACTTTCACATTGGCTAGCAGGGATTGATCAGGTGCCTGTTCTGTTTTACAGCCATCTCCCCACTGACCATCACCCACAGATCTTCAGTTTGCTTTAAAACATCTTCCCCTTCATTGTCCTCTTACTCATATGTTGTGGGAGTGCCGTAGGTTCACAAAGACCATAGGAGAGCGCTGCCAGCAAAAGGCTTGGCCGCTTTCTCTGCTTATACCCGGGTGCTCATTCCCACTTCCCTGGCTCTCTTCCTTTTCCCTGGCTGTAGGTATGGGGAACTTCACTGTGAACTCTATTAGAAAACCTTGCTAGACTAAAAGTGATGTGAAAGGGGCAGGGGGGAAATCTAAATTATTTAGCTTCATTCCCCCTGGGAACTTGAATTCTGCTTAACCTCTTGCATTGCCATCAATGGGAATTAAGCATGTATTTAAAAACGAAGTTTGAGTTTGGTACTTTGTCTTGTAAGAGCATTTTGGTATAAATTGTGTTTGTCCCTATCCATGTACTTAGTCTATTTTCTGTCTAAATAAATAATTTAAAATATTGTAGCTTGATTATTTCACATGAGGAGCTTTTCTGGAATGGTCAGGAAGAAAGATGGCTCTGATTTGGATATAATTTGGGGGGTTTTAGCGTTGTCTGATGCAAAATATTTTATTAGCATTTAAATAGTCTCATCTACACGTTAAGCACTTAAGATGTATAAATTCGCCCTCTCGTTCCCCTCTGCAATTACTTAAGCCTGTCTGGCAATAGCACGTGTAACCAAGATCAGTGATGGAGCGCTGGATAGCTGCCTTTGCAACTAAAAGGCTGGGGAAACTTCCTTTTTTAAAGCCTAAGGTTATCTTAAGTCTGTTGTAACCTTGTCAGGTCTCAGTGAGCTCAAACAACTCTTGATGCAGAGGGGGAAAAGCTTAGCTACATGTGTAACTGCATCTGCACCGAGCAACACAACCTGCTTGCTTAGATTAGGATGTGAGATTCCCCAAATTTGAGGCCACTTTAAAAGCCACAATGATGCTTTGGGTTCATCCTCAACAAAACCAAGATGAGCTGCTGCTTTTCTATTTCTTGAGTACTTTTTTTTTGGTTTTGACACCACTATAGACCTCCTGTGTGACATAGGTTTATAAGCTTTGTTTTGCCTTGTACAGCTTTTAGGATGAGAGACTAATACCTGGGCTCAGTCTATCATAGTGATGTGCTGAATGAAGTCTTATATTGTGTAACACTGGGAGAAAGGCATGCTCTTTTTTTAAATAAATCTAGAATCCCCATGATCACAAAGAAAAATCCAGTTATTTTCCAGAACAGAAATCTTAATATCCTTAAGTCAATAATTAATAAATGGCCACATTAAAAAAAACTATTGTTAAGAAAAGCAGTTACTGGGGAAGTTTGTGGTATGTTGATAATGTTTTTTGGGCAATAAAAAGCCTGTCTTTATCAAGTAAATAGCGACGGTCGTGGCTCAGACTGCAGTGCTTTCCAGTGAAGTGCTGGAGAGTTTTATAAGTGTACTGAAATAGGCAGTCAGCAGGTAATAAGCACCATCTGAAGCTGGTGCTTTAGGCTTATATGACTTATTCTGTGCCATTCTTAAATAGAATAAGAGCCTGTGGTGGAGGTTTTTGATATCTTGCTAAGAATCAGAGAAAGATTGATCAGGTAGTCCAGGGAGATGAAGTGATGGCTGCATAGAGGAGGGCTTATGAGAAATTGAGAAAAGGGGCATTTTTCTTATGTATATGGAAGCAACTGTCAGAAAGGAGACGTGGGGCAGGGGAGAAGCAAGGCTTTAGCTACCGTGTCTCACTAAGACCCTGTCCTTTTCCCCTGAAGCATGTGTGGTTGCTGGACCAGTTCATCTATTTAATTTTCTCAGTGCAAAAAATAAACAAAAGGCTGATCTGTGGCTGGGGGACAGGAAGAATCTTAACTAGTGACTGCATCAGTTGCTGCCAAGGCACGTATGTGTACCCTGTTGCTTTTTGTATTTTCTGAGCTATAAAATGCGAATAATAATGCTTCAATTGTGTATCGTTCGGCATTGTGTGATTAATTAGATAATGCTAGATAGTCCTTTGAAGATTAAATGTGTAATATAAATGTTGTATAAAGCTTACTAAGGGTCTCTGTGTCAGGTATATAGAAACCCATGGTAAGTGCAGACACAAGAGAGCTGGGAAGCCTAAGGCAGAGGCACTTGGGCTGGCTGCATGCAAGTCGCCTTCAGTCGAGCAACAGAATAGCGCCTTCACACGAATTTGTCCCATGCTGACGAGCCCTGCAGACTGGCACAACAACATGGAAACACGGCTGGACTAAATCTTTTAGTCTGGTGCTGTCTAACCTACTGCTTCGGGAAGCTTTGCGTTGTTGCGTGTTGATGTCACACGTGGCAAAGAGAAGGAATTGAAACGCGAGCTCTGGCTTGGTATTTCTGACCCAAGACATTTGGCAGTAGTGGGCGAGATGCCAAGGTAGCATGAAGTTTAAAGAAAAAAAAAAAGGAAGGATGAAGACATATGTGCACTGCTTCTGGAGCTGGAATGTTAATATTGGTAGTTGTGCGATGAGGTAAACTGGGGTAGAGTGAGAAGTGTTGCTTACTGAAGTATTTTAGCAAAGCCTGGAGGATGGATTAGCATGAGTGCTAACCCTTTTTTTTTCCTATTTGGTTTACTTTCTTGTTTCCCCTGTTGGATCTTTCTCACTAATGTGTCCAGTAACTTTGCGGAGGATGGATTAGTCAAAAGCATGAGTGCTAACCCTTTTTTTTCCTATTTAGTTTACTTTCTTGTTTCCCCTGTTGATCTTTCTCACTAATGTGTCCAGTAACTTTGTACTCTAAAGATCTCTGAGCAGGTGCTGTCTCTTAGCCAGCATAACTACCTAACTTTTCACCATTACTGACTATCAAAAGGGATTTCATTTGGTAACTAAGGCATGATTTGTTTTTCTTCCGAAGAATTTTTGGCTGCTTGCCATGTGTTTGGCAACTGAGCAACATCATGGTACGTTTCGTTTGTCACTGGTGTCAGCAAGCTCTCTTACAGTGCTGGGAATAACTGTACCAGTTTGGGGCTTAGAGTGACTTAGATGAATAAGTTGCATCTTACTAGAAGGTCAAGCGAAAGAAATGTGGATTTGTAGGTCTCCTTGGTGAAAAAGTACAGAAACACGTAACAATCCCAGATCAGCGTGGCTTAATGACGACAACAGCAAAATTTAAAAGGAGTAAAGGTCTTGCTATGACTTGGAGGACATGTTTGTCCATCCGTGGCTGAAAGATTTCAAAAACGTATAGCTACATAATGAAGCGGGTTATTTTTTTTTTAAATAGATCATTACTTCAGTTTGAACAGTGCATATGTTAGTGTCTCCTCCAAATAACTGAATTGTGCATTGAACTGTGACTAGTTGTGTTTTTCCACGCAGATTTAAGACTAAAAAGTTTACTCTTCTTTTTTCTCTCAAGTTGAATCTTTTATTACTTAAACAAGTTAAACTTATTTTCTCTAAAATTTATCTTGCAGATCCTAAAATCTCAAGACATGTATTTCCTGGGACTCTTGTCTTTGCTTGTTTTGCAAAGCAAAGCCTTCAAGACAAATTTTCCTGATGAAACCATTGCTGAGCTTTCGGTGAATGTTTACAATCAGCTGCGAGCTGCAAGAGAAGATGAGAACATTCTTTTCTCTCCTTTGAGCATCGCAATAGCCATGGGAATGGTAGAGCTTGGAGCCCATGGAACCACTTTGAAAGAAATCCGACATTCCTTGGGTTTTGACAGCTTAAAAAACGGTGAGGCCTTTTGATCATGTTTTACTGTGGGGCTTTTTGTCTTGAAGAAACAGATGGCAATGCCTGAACAACGCTGGAAGTGGCGCGGTCGTCTCCATGGGTTATTAATCAGTAGGCTTGCTGGCATCCTGCGTGATGGCCTGAGCGTGCTGAGACATGCTTCCGTGGGTTGTGCCTGAGCTGAGGGGTGCTAACGTACAACCCTGGCTTGGCCGCCTGCATCTTGAGCACTTGCAGTTAGCTGGTGATCTTGGCTTCAGTCTGCGAAATAAGCTTGCCTTTGCCTTGAGTTGTATGAAGGTTTTTAGGAACATCCTTTTTAGGGATTATAATGAAAGCTGAAAAGGAAAACAGTAGTTTTAGCAATATCACTAGTCAAAAAGTAAGAAAATGTTAGTAATTTAACTGGAAACGTCTCTTGCTTGTTTGGTTCTTGTAGGTAGAACTTGTAGGTTCTTTACCCCAATTCTATGGCGCTAATGTTCTGTCCCCATTGCGTAACGTCACATACAGATATACCAGCTAATTTAGGGACCGTAAGCATCTTGGCACGATCACCCACGGGTTCCCATCAGCCTTTCGGAGGAACAGGATTCATTTCTTTTGCAGAGAACGATGCTGCGGCGCTGTCCCGTCTGTAGTGCGGGCTGAGCGAAGTCCTGCCTCTGGGTGGAGCGCCGTGCTGTGGAGCGCCAGCACACTCTGTTAGTGTGAGCGCTGTGACATGGCTGCAAAGGGAGGGGATGAGGGAACAGCAAAAACATGGCTTTGAAGAGGCAATTTCTGTGAATTTTGATATCAAAGAAATTGGTTTGTGGCCGGAATGAAATTTCTTATTCATACAACGTACTGGACTTTTAAGTCTGTGGTGAAAGGATCTTGGGGAGGAGTTTCTGAATACAGTGTTTGAGATGTACCACTGCATAGGTGGTGCCTCTCTGTGGAGACTACAGCACATATGTAGTTCTACTGTTTGTCTCCAAAACACTGATAAATTATCCCTTAGCTGTAACTGAAGAAGCTACGCAGTTGGTTTGAGCTGGGCCGTTCACTGTTCGTGCATATGAGTGGTATTTGGTGAAGTACTCCAATGATTTCTGCTTGGAATAAAATATCATTCAGTTTTTAAGGTGAAAGGTTTTTCTTTTGGTTTAGTTTTTTTAATTAGAAATTTCCATTTCAGGTAGACAATGCAACAGTACAAGCTTCCTATCTTAAAGCAGACTGCTTTAATCCTACTCAGGATTCCTCATTACCCAAGCAAATGATTCTGTACTACCCCATGCAGGATCTTGCAAAATTCTAGACCTGTTTTTTGCAGAGAGAAGTCTGTGGGGAAGTCCTTAGCTTCAAAACTTGAAGTACATTTTTCCTTAAACAACTGGCTTTTAGGATGTAATGAACATTCTGTTAAGGACTTGTGGTGGCAAGACACAGGAGTGTGACTTGTAGGAATACTTTTCTTAATTACTCTTTTTGGTGTTGAAAGGATTACCATTGATAGCTTTGTCTGTGATGGATCCAAATGTCGTGTTAATTATGCTAATTATAGGTGGTAGAAGTAATAAGCTCTAAATAATATGTTCTGTCTTGTAGCTTGTTCTTTCAGATCTGAAGGCGTGTGTAGGTTTAGAAACAAGTTTATGAAAAAAAGACACTTTTTTTTTTGTTATTATTCATAAAATGTCATTGTGAATTTCCAGCAGAAAAAAACATTTAGTAACTTTCTTTTCTGGAGCACTGAAGCTGTTTTTCTTTCCTCAGGTGAAGAGTTTACCTTCTTGAAAGACCTTTCTGATATGGCAACTACTGAAGAAAGTCATTATGTTCTGAATATTGCTAACTCGCTCTATGTGCAGAATGGATTTCATATCAGTGACAAATTTCTGCAGTTGGTGAAAAAATACTTTAAAGCTGAAGTAGAGAATATAGATTTCAGCCAAAGTGCAGCTGTAGCTACCCACATCAATAAGTGGGTGGAAAATCATACAAATAGTAAGTCCACGTGATTCTTTATATGCTTCCTGCAGTAAGTGTTTGTGTTTCCAGAGTTATACAGTGTTGTTGAATTGTTGCCTTGGCTTTTATCTATTCCGTTTGAGACTGAAGTACCTCCTCCCATGAAAAGAATTCCAGAATGAGCTCTTGGTGAAATTACATTGTTTCCAGTGCAGGAATGATCAGTCTTATCTGTCTGAATGTTTTTTTCCCCTGTCCTACTATCTTAAAGTTCTTGTAGCGTTTATTGAAGCAGAATGTTTTAATGGTAGGCATTTTAATAGAATTTTAATACTGATTTTGGTATTAAATTACAAAAAAAAAATAAGTACTGTTGCTAACTGCAGAAGAGTTGTCTACAAAGGGGTTATTGGCCTGTGCTTTGGATGTGTGGAGTATTGCTAGTTCTCCGAGGAGCTCATAGTTATGAGATACTGACAAATGGGCTACTGAGGAATACAAAAGATAACTTTTGAACCACAAAAGCAGACCCTGTAATGTCTTTTCTACTGTGAGGAAGCTAGATAGCATGTTGAGAGAGCAGTTGATTTTAGGAAGACTGTCAACAGAGTTTCACAACAAAAATTTGTAGCAGGGGAATGAGCACAGAATTATCGTTGTAAATATGCATATTCAGATCTGCATGATGGAGAGCTTGCTTTGCTTGTGGAATCCCGAAGACGTGACGTTTTCTGAATACATGAGAGGGTCTCAAGGTGTGGGGGTGAAGTTAGTCCCCTGCTGTAGGGATCAAAGCATAACCTCATTCCGGTTCATCTGGCACACTCTGGAGATGGATATTTTAAGAGGAATTCAACAAGGGTCTGGCTCTAACCCCAGTTGTACCATTGTAAAATTGAGGGTATCGGAATCCCCTGTAAGGAATTAACACATCACCATGTAGTCTGAGCATTTAAGAATCCATAATGCTTTATGGAAATGTATGCCATCAAAGTGGAAAAACATCTCATAGAATGCATTTATTTCATTTTGGAAATGATCTGTTTTTTCCAAGGGAAAATGGCAGCTATTATATTCGTAATACATTCTGCCCTTTATCTCCAGCTACAGAAATAGAGAGAATGCAAGTGATGCAGCAGATTGCAGAGTGTTTTCAGAGAAGCATGGTGGCTGGCTGAAGGAAAAGTAAAACTCTTTCTTTTAGAAAGAACAGCAAGTTCTCCTGCTTAACACCTGCTACATGTGCTGACCGAGCCCATCACCATTGCCCTGGCAGGAGCTGTGCCGAGCTAACAAAGGCCGCTGTGGGTCTCTTAGCATTAGGTTGCGATAGTAACAGTCCCTCAGCCTGGTCTCTGACCACTGGGTCTCATTCAGCCCTGCCTGCCAGCTCTGACGGAGGAGGCTCATTTTCTCATTAGGAAAGGGGCACAAGACAGGCAGGTTTCCAATTCCAGCATGTTAAGCGTGATGGGAGGCTCGGAGCAGAAAACATGACTGTCAAAGGTTTCTCTGGCCAGAAAAATTTTTAATAGTGTGTTAGCAAGATGTGGCAGAAAAATATAAGGTGATGTGATGTACCAAATAGAAAAACTGGATTTTTTTTCCTTTTTTTTCCAACCACAGAATGTGGGTATGGCAGTATGGGTCACATCTCATTTCTAAGAAGGTTCTAGATAAAATGAAGTACAAACAGCAGCCCAGAAGGAATACTGCCCTGTGATACACAAATCTCACACCAGTTAGTCAGCGTCATGTGCTCCAGAAAGCAGGATTAATTTGTGGTTTAAACCATGGAATGAGAAATAATAATCAGACTGAGGAATGTGTTTATTTTAACACCTTGCATTGCAATGTCAGTTAAAAATAGAAGTGAGCAAGACAGCTATCTGAAGTAGGCTGTGATTCCTCAAGAATAGTGACAAATCTGGTCAGTGCACCAAATTTAACAGTCACATTATTTTGCTGAAAAGCAAGCCATTTAAGATGAGCTAAAGCAGGTAACAGACTGTATTCTGATGTCAATGACTTATTTAGGAGTAGGAGCAAAGCAGCTGCCATGCTCAGCTGACATACCTCCCATGAACAGAGCAGATGCTAGATGTTTTTCCTCTTTTGCTTTTCAAGAGCTAATGTCAGTGGAACAAATGCTGTGAATTTATGGGGGGGTTTTGTGATTAGTCCTCACTTTCAAGTCAGTAGGACATTACTGAAAAGGAATGCTTCCTTCCAAATTGGCCCAGGTGAGGCTCCAGTGGGAATACTTACACACTTAAATTAAGCACCCATCGAAGTGCTTCTCTGGGTTGGAGCCAAAGCTTGTAGAAGTTCTGACCTTAAGGTGGTAGTGCTGAACTGTATTATAGCACCAGTGTAAACATCCCTTACGTGACCGCTGTTCCACTTGGTTTCATTGTGGGTTATTTTAAGTAGTGATCAAGAAACAGTTGACTAACAGGGACTTGATGGAAGGGTTTATGCATCTACACTGTGATTTAGGTTTACAAAACACTGGCAGTTTAATCTGAGATTTAATGAAACAGCTGAATTGGAAATTACATGTAGCACAGCTTTTTATTTTCTTGCATTTTTCAAGCTGTCTTAAGTTTTGATTTAATGCTCAACTTAACATGCAGACTGACAGGAGTCTTCTTCCTAGATATGATCAAAGATTTTGTGTCTTCAAGAGATTTTGGTGCTCTGACTCATTTGGCTCTCATCAACGCAATCTACTTTAAAGGCAATTGGAAATCACAGTTCAGACCTGAAAATACAAGAACTTTTTCTTTCACTAAAGATGATGAAAGTGAGGTGCAGATTCCAATGATGTACCAGCAGGGAGAGTTTTATTATGGTAAGTTGGACCTTTAATAATTTAAAGCTGATAAGTCTTCCCTTAATAGGTTTGTTGCCGCAATACTCATTTGTATTGTCTGTTCTTTCACCTAGAATTTTAAATGTGGTTTTTGTCCAGTGAGAGGACTCTGATTTTGATGTCTCTTTGCAGTGTGTGTGCTTGTGTGTGATAACTAGATAGCAACATTTGTAATAACCTTTCTTGATTATTTTTTAGGTATGTGTTTGGTGCCAGATGGTGTGTTTCAGAATGTTTATCCATTATATCTAACCTCTTTACAATTATTGAGCTGCTACTTCTCACTGAAATATTTTTCTTGTGCTGTGCTAAATATTAAAATGCAGAGTGTTTGCTCATTATGGTTGTAATATCCTTAGAAAGGTAGAATAGGGGTGGTTTGAACAGCAGAACTAACGATTGTTTTTATCTTGAGCTTGAACTCCAGTGTCTAGCATTGCTCCTACAATGTCTAGCATGGGCAATATTTCACTTGGTCTCATCACTGAAAAATTCTCTCTCCTGCATAAAAAAACCTCTGCCCATTTCTATGAAAACCTTGGCAGCCTTGACTTTTGGACTTCTCTCTATCTAACCAGTGGAAGTTAGGCAATAAGTTCGGAAGTGTGATTATCTACAAACTGTGTGATTGCATAAGCTTGTTTTCTTTAAGAAAGCAGATGTGAGTCTCAAATCCTGTGATGAAGAAACCAATATAAATCTTAGACAGAACAGAATAAAGAGGGTCATTTTCGGTTTTGGTATCTGGTAAATACTGCCTAGTATTAGCCTTCTGTTTCTCCCAGTGAAGACAAAAGAAAATACTTCTAACAGCTTCTTTTTTTTTGTGGCTGTTTTTCTCTTGTAGGAGAGTTCAGTGATGGCTCCAATGAAGCAGGCGGTATCTATCAAGTTCTGGAAATACCATATGAGGGAGATGAGATTAGTATGATGATCGTTCTTTCCAGACAGGAAGTTCCCCTGGTCACATTGGAACCACTGGTCAAAGCCTCCTTGATTAACGAATGGGCTAATTCTGTAAAGAAGCAAAAAGTGGAGGTGTATTTACCAAGGTGAGAAAATGCTCCCGTGTCAATAGAGGGGGAGAAACTACGTTCAAATTGATTGGAGTAGCAGAGTAGGTAAAACTTGAACATCTTGACCAAGCCTGTAGCACCCATGTGAAGGTTCCTTTAACAGGAAAGCCCAGGGGGCAGGCTGGTGGTTGGGTGAGCAGCGGAGGAGCACTGCATTTGCATCCCTTTCAATATGTGAGCTCCAGAAAGGAGAATTTCATCATCAGGAATATATCCAGTCTGAATGATGTTCAGAGTATTGCAGAACTCATTATGGATAAGTTCCATTTAGACAGGAGCCATAGAAATATTGCCAGTCTGAATTAACAACAGCTAAAATGTTTCATTTGGGTCCTAATTAGATTTCTGTGTGCTGCTAATTTAACAAGATCTAATGGTGTGTGTCTGTGTAGATACAAATGGTTCAGTGTTGCGAGGTAATTCCTGTCAATTTGTGTCTTTTGTCTTTTTTTCTTAGTGGTAATAAGTGTGGGTTTCTTTCTCTGTAGAGGAGCAATGAAATAACAAGATGTTACCACCAGAAGGGATGAAACTTCTGTCAGTTCATTTGTAAACATAAGTTGTCTGTACTCAGTGGCATATTTGTTCACATACACCACGTAGGATTCTGTTTCATCTACGTTCACATATTCTTCATGCTTGCCCTACACTTGACTTAGTAACAGAGTTGTTTACTACTAAATGTCACCAATAATGTATAGTTGGATGATGATGTCCTTCAAGTGATTCATAATTATTTCATTGAAGTGTTTATATAACAATATGGCACACATTTGATGCGGATCACTTCTGCTGTTACTGTTGTGGCACTCTGCAGCAGGTACATGGCAGCAGGAAAAAAAAACTATAGTGAATCCTTTTAATCATTAAAATAGTTCTTTGTTTTCAGCTGACTTGGAGATTTAAGTTTGTGTTTCACATGTAAAGAGAAGAGCAAGAATCCCTGCACTTCATAAGCTTCCTTTCCACAGCAAAGACCACTTTCAAGAAGCTAACTGCAGCTGAGCACGATGAAACAAGGCCAGCCAGGATAAATTAAGTTTGAGATGGACTGGTGCTGTCAGCATGCCCTGATTCTAACTCGAGATGGAATTCCACTTCTCCTTGAAGCAGTTACGCTTGGAGTCAGAGCAGCAAGGGAACAGCGGCGTTTTGGGGCTCTTTGTCTCTGCCCCACAGTAAAGGTTCCCTTCTTTAAGTAGCGTTTCCTTTGAAGAAGCAGGGAGAGCAGCCAAGAGCTGCATTGCAGGTTTTAGACAAACTGAACCTAATGTACACTATTCCTGTGAGTTTGTTTGTTTGTTTGTTTTTTCTCTTGGAGCTTCAGGTCCCAGGAGCTTTAGTATTAACAGTCCAGTAAGATGCAGGGAGGGGATGTTTCTCCTAGACTATTTCTCCTGCAGGCTTGGGCAAACCTTACCTAGATGTTCATGAGAAGTAAACTATGAAGATTTTTCCATCCTTTGAGCTTTCCATTTATAACTGGAGCATCTCCCAGCCTGTGCATCAGGTGCTGAAGTTGGGCATCTCTCTCCATTGATTATACAGGGAACCTGTGAAAACTAGCTTCCAAATTTAAGAAGCTTAGGTATCCGAAATTAAATACGTGACTGTCATTGAAAACGTATTAATTATGTTTATGACTCGAATTAAGTTTATAGAGGTAGTTTTGGGGTTTGTTTGCTTTTAAACAAAATCAGAGGCTCCAGGATTCTCTGTAGCCAGTTTCTCAGACTTGAGTTTGAGGCCTAAGGTTTCATGTTGTCAAAAATGTGCTTATTTATTCCATCCTCAGGCTAATTAAGCCTGTCTTATGTCATGCTGTTATCGAAGAACCTCAAAGAACTTGGTGAACACTTGTGAATTAAGGCTATACAAAGGCAAAACAGGAACCACCAGGTGCTGATTACCTCCAGTATTTTCAGATTATAAAAGATAACTATCATGAGCTTGAAGTTCCATATAGTAATATAGCAATTTCCTTACAAAAATTAATTGCATGCTTCTAAGGTGTTGGATTTCCATTAGGGATTCAGAGGTGATCTACAGGATTTTATCAATGCTCTAAATAAACACTTCATAAATATTTTATGCTCTGACTCAGAAAGGCATGTTATGAAATGTGGCCTGCAGGCTCTGTCCTCTGAGAAATTGAAAGCAGCAGTGGAATAAAATTAAATTTTTATATCCTGAAAGATGCTATCCAATTATAAAGTGAACATTTTTTAAAACTTATACATTTGTAATAGGACCTGAATGACTAGCCAAAGCAGAGTTAACCACAATTTTCCAATTTCTGTCTGCATTATCTCTGTGCAAATGAAATTCTGTATTACTCCTCTTAACAGCAAAGGAGAGGTTTGTACAGAATTGTTAAATTATGCTTTCTCATTTTCATTTTCGAATCATTGTTTCCAGCTTAACCCAGACTAAAGTGATCAACATTTTAATCCACTTTTTGCATAGGAGTGAAACAGTCCATGAATCTAATTTACAACGCTGTCTCTCTAACATAAATTATTTGAAGAGCATAGGAGGAACAGCTCTACAGCCTGCAGATCTCTTAAGGATTGTTCCCGTATGCCCAGCTCTCTCTGACCTTCTTCCTTTTTTGTACGTTTAAATATCTTTAAAATGCCTTAGGTGGTGTTAAAATGGTGGGGTTTTTAGCTGAAGGTTGTTTTCTGTCAAAAAACACCCACAAACAGCCACCAACCCCAAAACAAAAAACCCCAGACACACTCTTTTTTTTAACATGTTCTCTTGAGTCCCCTTTTCATGAGGAATAGGCCAGTGCTGATTGTTCTTGAGATAGTCATGGAAAAGAATAAAACTGTCCCACTGAAATACATACTTACCCAACTTCTATCCAGAGCTAAATATGGGCTGCAGAAGGACCTTGCCAGAGAAGGAACCATAAACCTGCCTTGCTTCACCTAGTCAGAGCAGCTGTGTGGGGATTTTGTTTGGTTTTCCTCTTAGTGGTTTCTTGTTTGGTTGGGTTTTTTTGTTTTCAGGCTATTAAATCACCCAGGCTAGTCCTAGCACCTCAGAACAACCTAGCTGAAATTCCAGCTGAAATGTTGGAATAGATATCAGCTGGTAGCTTTGTCTTGTAGGCTGCTTGCTCAGTTAAAAAGAGTGATTCAGATCCTAAGGGCCTGTCCTCCAAGCAAGAATATTGTTGATTTCAAGCAAGGAAACCATTCCTTTTTTGCTTTTTGTTCTCCAGGACTTGTTGTATTAGAACCAATTTGAAAACCTGGAATTTCTTGGTTTTGCTCATTCCGAACTCACACTAGACTCTGAATCACACTAGACTCTAGTTCCCTTCTGTTGTATAACTAGAAAGGGTACCCTAATGCTGCTTGAGTCTGTGGATCCTGAGCATCTAAGGACTTCCTGAAAAATTCAGCATTTCAGAAGGGTTGCGTAGCATCATAAGAAGTTTTTTTTTTCAGTCTGTAAAATAGAAGAAGAAAAAAAGGGAGAAATACTGATACAGCATGTTAAAGTTAATCCTCTATACAAAACCTAGAGGTTCAGGTATGTAACTAAGGAGACCGTCGATGACATAAGTGCATCATTTTAATCTAATGCTTGTGGAAGCTTTAAATTTCGTGAAAAGATCATCTGTCTCTGCTAAACTTCTCAGAGAACTGTTTGTTAGTTTCTCAATCTAATTCTACTTCCTGAGCATCTTACTCTGTTTTTCATTTCATGTGGGAGAGTTCCAAAGACGGTGGAAATCGAGGGAAGTATTTTTGTTCAGCTGTTGGCATTGCATTTTATATGTAGGAAGTAGAGAGACTTTACAAATTAACATTGTAAAAATAAAGGTAGAGCTAACTCACATTGTCACTTCTCCTTGACTTTTGCTGACAGCTGGCAGGCAGTCACTATCCCTTGTTAATGTCTTTCTGCTCAGTGCTCTCTGGGGGGGTCTGTAGAAGCATATATCCACGAACATGTGCATGTGTGAACCTTCTAGCTCTTCTCTTGACCCCACAGACCAGTCTTTCTGTTCTGATCCTATGGTGAAAACACCTCATGTTTTCTTCAGTGTCTGTTTCTCAGACTTCCTTTTGTGGTGTTTAATGCTCCCGTTGCAACTAGTCCATGACTTCTGATACTGAAATATTGAAATTGATTTTTCATAGTATTTGTAGCATCAGAAGCACCTGAAAGATCGTGGAAAAAAATATGGCCATCTGGTTCGTAATGGGTGACAAACACTGCAGATAACCACGTGTCAGGGCTAGTATCGTGTAGCTTGGTATTTCCAAAGTCTGGAGGTAGAGCAAATGTCTGGCTTGGGAAATGAGATTGAATGTCTCTTCTGTGTTCTAGGTTGTCAGCTTTGATTTTGAATACCTCTATCACTGTCTATACAGAATGCAAAGAAATCCCAGTATGACTGGCAGATAACTCATACAAGTGTTTACATTGGATTGCATAGCCTGAAATTAAATTTCAATGTGTAAAGCAGCCCAGTTATTTTTCAAAAGAGGCTAGTTCTGATGTCAGCTAAAATATTTGAAATATCATTAATAGCTTATCTGTAACTCTCACTGCTCTCCAGACAACACATGCTCTAAAGAGCTCACTGCTCTTCACAGCATGCGAGAACGGGGAGTTAGTATTTTGAATTGTGGTTTAGAGTGGGGCTTTACCACATGACATAACTAAAGGGGAGAAGGGAAGTAATTTTATCTTCATAAAGGGGTAGTTTGGTATTTATACAGCTGATGAGGTACTTCGGGTCTACTGTATTTGTCACAGAAAGCAGGAATTCACTTCTGTGGATACTGTAGAGACCTTCACTCAGCCACCTGTTCAGTATTTGCTTTTCCAGACACTTCAGTCAGGGGTGTAGCCTCTATCCAGTGGTTAGGTGACTGCTGCTGTCCTTTGTGTAGGTATTCTGTAGCAATATAACCAATCAACTTTTTACATTTTCTTCTTTCAGATGCATATTCAGCTGAGGCTTTACGGGTTTATTTTTTTTTTTGTCAAAAACATCTCCCAAACCTCTTCCTTGATTAGGATGCAAAAACATCTTTTGTCGTGCTTTCTTTCTGGGTCACAATTCATCGCTTAGCAGATAAGTGTGTTTTCTGTCTAGTGGTCCGAAGACTTAAACCCACCTGACTTCCATTTATATGTTATAGTGATTCTCTGCAGTGGGGAAGAAAATGCTTCTTTGGAGTTATTTTTCTAGTGAACCTCAAGTTTTGCTTTTCATGCGGACTTTTCTTGCTACTGTCCTATCTTGATACTCCTTACCAGTTTGACACTGCTAGTTAATAGCAAATGGTCTTGAAACATTGATGCATTTAATAGTAACTGTGGTGAAATAAAAACTGAAAAGGGGAAAAATATAGCACTCTGAAGTTTTTATAAATGCACGTTAACATTCATTTGCCTTCTCTGCATGTTTGTAAGGTAGCTGCAGTTGGATGTGTTTTTCAAAATATTATGATAGAGTTTTAATATAGAAGGAAGTATCTCTGGATTTATTCATTCTAGACTTATTCAATGTGCACAGACAGGACCTCTCCTCTGTACTGTTTAGCTGTAGTTAACTGTAGCATTAGGAATCATGTCTCAATTCGTCTTTCTTAGGGTTTTTACTGAAGTCTCTAACATAGATTTGGGCATACTTTACAATGACTGGTGAGAGTAAAACTGGTCTGTAGAGCCTAGAAGCCAGAGAAATTTGAATGTATGAACAACTTACAGATTTGTCTCTTGGCTTCAGGCTAAAATTGTGTGTAAGGTCTTGTGAGCTCCCTGGCTCTGTATTTTTTGACCGATGTGAGCATCCACAGCTTTCTAAGAGGAGAAGAAAGCTAACAGGACACTTCTATTTCCTAAACTACTATTGGCTGTTTTCAGGTCATCTCATACCTGTACCTACATCTCATTCATTAAGATAATGCCATCTTTTTTTTTTTTTTTTTTTTAAACAAATGCTGCCAAACTGGCTGATGCAGAATATGCCAGAACACTCTGAGAAGCTTCCTCCAGTACATAAATCTTTGTTGCTCTCTTCTAATTCTTTTGAGATCTGCCAAACCAATAAAATCACAAGAATCAGTTCTTGTGTTTTTATTCCAGGCATATCCTGGAATTCCTCTGGGCAGGGCACATGAACACTTGCGATGCCACCAGTGATTTATCAATCCTGAACTATCTCCAGATCTTATTTTAACTTGCATAAAATTCCTCTCTGGGTAATGACCAATATATATTCCATCATAGATTTTTCGCTTCTAATGACGTTTCTAAGTTCATTATAAATGTAGATTGTGTATTGGGGTTTTCTCCTTCTGTGTAAATGTTGTAAGTGAGGAAGATCCACTTGACTCTTATCCAGTTGTCTTTTGATGTCCAGATTATTCTTTTTCAAGCTGCCAAGGCTTCCACATGCCAAAGTATCATACATCTCAGCTCTTCATCAGCTGTTCTCTGATCAGAGTTCTGGCCTGTCCTTTCTCCTGAAAAGAACATGTTCTTCCATGTAGTTGAGGAAGTTTAATCCTGAAAAAGGAAATTGCACAGAAGCACACATTATTTTGTTTGGTTCTAGCACCGATAAGACCCATCACGAAGGGCTGTAGTGTAATTGCAGAGTTATTTCTGACTGAATTACTTGCTGGAGAAACTGTGACAACACCTTGTGGACTATGTATTTTGTGTTGTATAGTTTATACCCAGTCACTGTCAGGGTCGTGTAAATCACTCATAATTTGTTCTGTCATTCTACAGAGAACCCATAGCAAACATTTCTAATTAGTGTCTTATGTTTGTCTGTAGACTTCTGGTATTTTCTGGTTGGGGCTGCCGTCCTTACTATTATTCTGATATATTTCTTCGTTTCTCCAGCTGTCCACTCTGTTTCTGGCCATACATAAAGGACTAGAATCCTTTTTGTCTTACTGACACCAGGCATGACTTTCATAGTGTCTGAAAAGCACTCTTTGTGAATGGAACAAGCTTTTGCCTAAAATCTTGCCCTTGGGATGAATCTCAATTTGTCCTTCCAGCATATAACACAGCCTAGAACATGGCTTTACAAGCTAGACCTGAAATTCTGCCAGCTTATACTCACGTGCATTTGCACTGACAACTATTTGTTTTCCATGTACTTTACTCACAATCAAAACCTAATTAAAATTTTGCCACCAGAGTAATTAGAAGGTGAGTCAGAAATGCTTTATATTCATAACTGCTAGTCTTTGCTTATTCTGACTAAATAAAAATGGAGTATCTCCCTTGCTTTCCTACTCTTCCTTTGCCAACAGCTATGAAGTTTGTGCTGTCCTTTGCCTTATTTGATATTCTATTCTAGTATGTGTACAATTAAATTCAGTTTTTATAGTGAGCCTTTTGTATAAAAAGTAAGCATTTACATTAGCTAATGCATAATTTTGCACTGAGGTTTTATGGTCAAGGACTGTAGATACCATTAGCATAGTTTTGATTGCTTCTGTGTTAGAAAAAAAAAGAATCCAGCTGCGTGTAAACTAGTTGGTGTAAGTGTTTTTGTGGGAGGTGTCACTATACTACACTACTAATGCCGAATCTCCTGCTTTACGTTGTTTACCTCAGTGTTTCAATTGTCATTACCCAGAAATTTTAACCTTCTGATAACAATAAGTACTGCTTACATCTGAGGTCTTTGTAATTTTCTATTGTATTCTCCAGGTTCACGGTAGAACACGAAATTGATCTGAAAGATGTCTGGAGAGGTCTTGGAATTACAGAGCTGTTCAGCAGTAGTGCTGACCTCACTGCGATGTCTGGTAAGAGGTTCTTGTGTTGTTTCCTGAGGTTTATGTACAAGGTCTGAAGTCACCTAATGATAACCAGCAAGCTCTTCAAAATGGTTTTATGGGAAAAAAAAAAAAAGCCCCAAACACCTGCTAGTGATTTTTTGGATCCTTCGTGATTGTTGCACAATGTCAGTGTGTGCTCGCTGTAGGAGCAGTTGGGGCAGGGGAGAGATCCATCAGGGAGTGTGTGTGGGATGGGGGATTTTTGACCTGGGAAAGTTCACTCAGAGTATTTACAGAAAGTGTAATACTATGCACGAGGCAGAGATATGGCTTCAGTGCCTTCATGGCAAATGGGGTTTGCACAACAAGGGGCTTGTCATCTCTTCTCTCCCGAGGCTATTTGTTCACAGCATTGAGAGCATTAAGCTGGTGTGCAATTAGTCATCTCCCCAGATACCTGCTGTATAGAAGCGGCACAGGAAAGAAAGACTTCTGAGATGAAAGCCATTTAGTCACATATGCTGCTTGCCTATTTCAGTATGTTGCCAGCGCTTTATTTTCAGAAGTTGAAATATCCAATACATCTAGAAATTCAGGTGGAAATGAGCTATTTATGCTTTTAATACCTCCTAAACAGTACTGAAGTGGCACCAAAGGGGGTTGAGTCATCTTTGCTCGAGTTGTTTCATTTTTGCATAACAGAGGTAGCCACGCAAACCGTGTACTGAGCGTGGTCTGTCCAGACCTGAATTTTGGCAAACCTGGTTGTTCTCTATCTGGGAGCTTGTGCCAGTGTGAGGTTGTGGTCATTGTTCTTGTAATTTATGCTTTTATACTGCTCCCTGGGTGTTGGGTTTTTTGCTCTATGGGTTGCTGCCTAATCAGCCACATAGATCTTTAGCTGATGGGAAATACCTGTTCTTAATTGTCTGTATCTGGAAGCAATCACATCTGTGTGGCTTGTTCAAAACAGCAGTAATGAAGGCAAACCTTCCTCTAAAATTTACAGCAGAAATTCTATTTTTCATATCCTTTTCACTTTTGCTAAGTTTGAAATATTGTTTGTAGTATCATGTAGCTTATTCCACTGTTTTGCTGCTTTTGCTTTTCCAGTGAAATTGTGGGAAAAGCTAGAGTTAGCTAATGTGAAAAGAATTTGAATAAATGAAAAATCCTTCTTTAAAGAAAAAATAAAAAAATAAAACCCAAAATATTTTCGATTTCTCTGCCACCCCAAAGAAAAGTAAGCTTCCCAATAAATTCTGGTCTATATATAGAAAAGTATCTACTGGAGGAAAAGTACTAAGGAATGGGGAAAACACCCAGGGGAGATTGAACCACAAAGGCAGTGCTTGGCTCTTATTTAGTTTCATGGAAAAGTCCCCTATATGTCGGGGACTAATGAAACATGGCCAGCAGGTTGAGGGAGGGGATTCTCCCCCTGTACTCTGCTCTGGTGAGACCCCACCTGCAGGGCTGCATCCAGCTCTGCGGCCCCCAGCATAGGAAGGACATGGACCTGTTGGAGCAGGTCCGGAGGAGGCCACGAAAATGATAGAGGGGGCTGGAGCAGCTCCCCTGTGAGGACAGGCTGAGAGTTGGGGGTGTTCAGCCTGGAGAGGAGAAGGCTCCGGGAAGACCTTAGAGGGCCTTCCAGTGCTGAAAGGGGCTGCAGGGAAGGTGGGGAGGGACTCCTGGTCAGGGAGGGTGGTGATGGAATGAGGGGTAACGGCTTCACACTGACAGAGGGGGGATTGAGATTAGATGTAAGGAAGAAATTCTTCCCTGTGAGGGTGGTGAGGCCCTGGCACAGGCTGCCCAGAG